AGCAATTTCAGTACAGCAAAAATGATAGCTTACCATGAAAAACTAAGGTAATTTTCGGAATCAGCACCACCAAATTAGCTAAATAATGTGTTTTCTTTCTTGGCACCAAAATCGTGTTGACCAGTGTTATCATTAAAACTGATCCTCGCTTGAGATTTACGAGTTCTGTGTAGTGAATGGAAGCGTGTAGAAAATTCATTTTCTCGACAGAAGCCTGAAAATTCATTCTTTATAATTACCTCATTCTTGACTTCAATCGAGTTTTCAATATATTCTTTTTCTCTGTTTGAAATGAACCAATGTTTGCTCGGCGAATCGGACGCAATAAACATCCAGAATGCCCACCAAATACAGCCAATGGTACCTTTAAAGGAAGAGAAAAAAAATGATGGGACAGGAAAAAGTTGCTTCAAAGAGGGAAATAAAAAGACAGGTGAAATATTTGCTTAAACTTTTATTATATTACTATTTTACTGCTTCTGATTGTTACTTTTTTGTCATATGCTCTACGTCAATAGTTTACTTAAACACGGGTGTCCACTAAAATAACTTTTATATTAATAGGAAATAATGTCTTATTAAATATCGACTTTCAATTTGGAAGAAAATGTGCAAAACGTAGATTTTTGCACTCTGCTATACTTCTGTCATTATACTGTTCAAAACGAAATATGTTTTTTATGAAAATCGAACCAATTTGTTTAAATAACGCGCAGTGTACGTGTATCCGTCCGTCTGTCCGTCCGTTTTTCGATCTTGGCGAAACAACCTGAAGCAACAGGTAATAACTATTGTAGTTACACGCGATTAAAAATTAAATAAATAACTCAGTTAGATTTAAATATCGAACAGAGTGAAAGGTTTAAAGCAACAAGACTTTATTAAAGGTTTAATTTTAATTTTACTTTTCGTCGCAATTGCAATTGATATTGTCTAATTAAACAGTAATTAAACCTTAAACGTGGCACAGTATGTTGCTCATAAGTTTTTTTTTTCTTTTTCTAGCACACATACTGTGACGTATCCGAAATATTACATAGTTCTGGTTCCCTAATGTCTTTTAAGAGTGGCTTTATGTGAAGGGATCATAAAGTATGGTGTTTTTAAAAGAAAAGAAAAATTGCCCGCAAAATAGATGTAAACAAACTACGGAGATTGGTTGCGTATACGAAGAAAGATTATGCCGAATTAAGATGTCGAATAAAGATTAAATAATTTCATTATTTCTAAATTTTTATAACTTTTACGTGCATAAGGTGCTGAAAATAAAAGACCGAAATCCCAAAAGCCCTCCGCAGGAGCTGGGCTAAAGTCCACTCGAAGGGAGGTTTCTAGGCTGGTATTTAATAAATTTATTAACAATTTTAAATAGGGAGTTTCTTTCTACTCGCCCTGTGCATATTTAAACAATCAATTATTTATTTATTTTATTTTATTTTATTTATTTATTTTTTTTTTTGTTCATGTTTTTTCAATTTTTAATAAAAGGATTCCATTGAATTAAAAAACAAAAATTTACATATCTGTCTATATTTCTGAGATGAGGTATTGTAATTTGCATTATTTGCATTGTTCGGACTGTTGTCTTCATCTTTTTTTGTCACATTCACGACGTTTTGGCCGTTGTACGCTCCGGCCTTCTTCGGGATCTAGCTATATTGCTGAGATGAGGTACTGTAATTATTTAAACTATTTACATTGTTCGGACTGTTGTCCTCATCTTTGTTGTCATATCACTACTTTTCGGCCGTCGTACCCTACGGCCTTCTTCAGGTGATTGAAATTTCGAACTGAACCATTTATTTTCATCCGCCGGTGTAGATTGTTCTAGTTCAACGTGCCATGGCTCTTCCGGATATCTCAGTATCAGTTATTTCCATTTAACTCAACTCTCCAAGATTTTTGTTCACCTCAGCTGTAGCCAGGTATTGAACTCTAAAGGACCACATAGCCCAATAGATAAAAGCGTTGGTTGAACCCAGTAACTTAACCCAAAGAATTGGGAAGTGGTCGGATAATAATATGAATTGTATTTTCGAATATTTTAAAACGCTGCCAGAAGTGCTACTGGGAGCCTATGCGTAAATGTCTGATTTTGATCATTCGACTCTTGACTTTGAAACGCCAACTTCCAGTCAACCCGACACTATATAATAGTCATAACTAGTAATAGTATAACAGACACTTACCAAATATATAAAAAACCGAAGGCCAACCGCCAAATACACCGTTGTTTATTAAAATTCCTGACACCGGGATACTTATAAATGACCCAAAATGGATACCTAAAATATGAAACAATGTAAAAAAGAAATCAGATTTAAAAATAATTACGAACATATCAAAGAGACTAAAAACAAAAAAAGATGTTTTTCGTTCATTTATAAATTTTGGTGCTATATTTTTTTTTAAATTTCCACTTGTACGCTAGCGACAAATAATCCTGTTGGAATAATTCTAACATTCAACACCAGGGGTCGGCAACCTTTTGTTAGAGAGCGGACCAGAAAGCTAAGGAGTATCTCGGTGGAGAGCCATAATATCAAATATAGTATAATAAATTGTCTCGATCTCATACTGCTCCGTCCAGAAGGCTGCCTTACTCTGGAGGTTTAAAGAAAAAACAACGAATGTCATATTATTTAAACAAGGTTGCTTATTTTATTGCAGAAATAACAGGATGACAACTAACACAAACAATAAAAACTGCAAATTCCTTACGACAAACGAAATATACTTAGAAACAGCAAATTATTTAATGAGACACTTGTTTCTGTTTATCGTTCGATATTTAATAGAAGCAGCGTTATGTCAAAGTTGAGCTGATGTAGAATTTCTACCGAGTGTTGAATGCATGTTTGAGAGAATTTTCTATTATTGTCGACTGAATATCGTACTTGCAAATTCTTAGTTTGTCCGAGTTGTATTGTTGCAAAATGAAGATAAAGGACAGTGAGTCGTCTTTTGAGATTTGGTTCACACTTTATCTATTTCAGTCCAGAAGAAAAGAGTTGAATTAGTTGAAAATGGCGTTGCGTTCTCCGTTTGGTAAGCCGGGTGAAATTAGGTCAAACGTCGCCTAGAGAAAGAAGAGGTCAAGCAAACATAGACAAGTGGGGAGAAAGAGTGTTATAAGGCTCGTGTCATAGTAGTAATTGTAGTTGTTCTAGTGGCGATTAAGGCTTCCCACGTCGCCTCTGAGTGTTGACTTCAATGTTCACTTTTATATTTATATTTACATACGCTCTATCTCTGATATTGAGCACTTTATCCCATAAATATAGCACAGCTTAAAACTATATTTCTTCATGTATATTTCTTTATATATATATATATATATATATATATATATATAATTATGAATGCTATATTTTAAAAAAAATGAATGAATAAGCGCACGACGTGAGGTGTGGGAGAAGGTGAGAAGGAAGAGAAAATCAAGTGTATTGTATATATATATATATATATATATATATATATATATATATATATATACTTGTCGATGACAGGAGCAAAACATTATCCAGGTGGCCATCACCCAACCTTGCTCTTAAACAACTTTTAGCAAATATCCTTTTCGAAAAAAATTGTTCACAAGCATATGTATTTCCAAATAATGATAGCTTTTCGCATTATTCAATCGATTTTTTTTCCGCTTGGCAAAATATATTTCTTGTAGAAGCTTGCTCGATCAGTTACTATTGAAAAGTGAGTTCGATCCTCACTGGATGCCCCATACTTTCAGCCTTGTGCCACATCTAAGCCGGGCTTAGAAAATCACTTTATTTCTTGTAGAAGTCAGCAGTGGATTCGGAATTAAATTTTGATTTAAAAAATTCGTCACATTGTAAGTCGATTAACTCCAACTGATATTTTCCGGCGACTTGCTCCACAAATTAATTAGATATTTAATCTCCAGGTGTTAAGTTAGTGGGCCAGACGGAAATCCCACGCGGGTTGCCGACCCCTATTTTATACAGTCAGTGTTTAGATTATTTATTTTTTAAACGTAAAAATTATTTCCATAAAAATCAATATCATACATAGACCCACCAGTAATCATATTTATTATAAAACCCAGGTTGTGTGTGTGTGTGTCTGTTCGTTTATATATTGGATCGGATTTCCTACATTTTTCAACCGATTTCAACAAAACTTCACAGGACCACGTAAAATTACCTTGCGGTGGTTCTGACAGCGCCAAAAATTGGAAAAACACAATTGTTTTTGCACGAAATCAATTTTAAAACACGATTAAGAGACATCGCTGTAGCGAGAATGAAAGGGGGACAACTCATATCGAGTTATACTTATTATAAAACCCAGGTTGTTGTGTGTGTGTGTGTGTGTGTGTGTGTGTGTGTGTGTGTGTGTTGTGTGTGTGTATATGGGTGTCGTTTATATATGGGATTTTCCTACATTTTTCAAACCGATTTCAACTAAACTTCACTTTTTTTTTTTGGCAGGTAGTGTTTCTTATTGTCTTGCACACTTTTTTCTTTATTTTTACATTCAGAATGCTTTAAAAATTCCATTTACAAGACAATTGTTTATAATAAAATTCTATTCAATCCGTAGAGTCAAAACGATTGAAAACAATGTTTTTGTTTGAGTTTGAGTTTGACCAATTCGTAAAAAAAAAAAAAAAAAACAAATAAAAAAAACTAATTAAGACATGCGTGTCCGTCAACCTTAAACAATAATCTTTGTCAATTTTATTTTTCAGTCTTTATGATGGTCGATACTTGATCTATCTCTTACTGTTACAACGCCGGGCTCTACTGCTAGTCTTCTATAGTTACGTGTTCTAAATTACTTTCGGCAAGTATTTTCTTTTAATATTTATCCTGATAATAAACACTACCGTGTCATTAGTAACAAGGGATATTCTCATTTTTACTGTTATTTTCCAGTGATATCATGGTGTAGAACGTAAACTATCTGCATAGCAACTTGCTTTTTCACTTTTATCGCACCTAAATATAAAAGACAGTGACAAGATGGCTGGCGATGGGAAAACACATCATCGTCATCATGTGTCGACCGCAGTCGTGATCCTGAAGTCCACAACACTACGCCAGACCTCCCGGTTCTTCATTGCTGTCTCCAAGTCCTGCCTGACAATGCCTGCATCCCTTGAGAGGACGTCAGGGAATGATAGTTTTCTGCCCGTGTTCAGGTTCGACGCAGGCTTCCAAAGTAGGAGAGGGAGGAGACAGCCTCATTCTCGCTATGGTGGCAGTGGCCAGAAAAATTGTGCTTGACGAGCTCGTATGATAAAAGAAACATGGGGAAGACTGCTATAGATTCAACCTCACAAGAAGATACTTTTTCAGGTGGGCTGACATTTCAGCTTTAATCAAATACTCTGCTATGCCTCTGTGTCTCATGTTTGGCATTTAGCTGATTAATAAATAGAAAATATATTAAATAATTGCCGGATTTAACCCATTTCATAGCCTAGTGGTTAGAATGTTCGCTTTCTGACCATGAGGCCAGGGTTCGAATCTCACCATGGTCGATTTGTCAGAAAAGCGTCTTCCTGAGGTTATCGGACTGGAGGGGTCGATCCCAACGTGCAGCAACTTTGGAAAGTGCCTTAAAAGCATACCACGGGTTAACCCAAGATTTGTGAGTGAAATTAGGTAGACGGGACTCTTATGGGCCGTCGATAGCTCTTCTAGCACTAAGCATCTCCCAATTGTTTATTACCATCATTGTTAACCACCTGAAGAGACGTTTTATTTTAAATGACGAATCAAAATGTACAATTTTGTAGTGGGTACATTCATTTTCTAATGTAACTAAATATTTTCTAATGTAACTAATATTTCTAATATTTTCTAATATATATATATATATATATATATATATATATATATATATATATATATATATATGTGTGTGTGTGTGTGTGTGTGTGTGTGTGTGTGTAAGCAAATATATGGATATAAATCCGACAGTATGAAGAAAATATATATGGAAAAAAAAACAAAAATCCTTATATACAATTATGCTGTTTTAATATTAACATGTCAACGTCTTTGTTTTTGTTGTATTGATAATGTTATAATTTATATGTCCTGAAGATGGTTTATTAGACCGAAACGTCCGACGTTGACATATTAACATTAAAACAGCATAATTGTATATAATGATTTTTGTTTGTTTTTTCCGTATATATTTTTCTTCATATATATATATATATATATATATGCTGGATATATTCCACAAAAATGGCCTCCGCGTGATCTGTGACTATACTTTTGACGATAGCGTGTCCAATGCTGATCTTGCAAAATGCAACTTTGGTGGAATTGAGACTTTCCTGATGCAGTCACAACTGGGCTGGTCAAGGATAAATGAAAACAGAATACCTAAGAATCTCATGTATAGCCTAGCTTGAAAGATGACAAAGGAGTATTCGACGACCGTGACTCAGGTATAAAGACAACCTAAAGAGTAACCCCTCAGCTGTCAATGTGCCTCATACTAACTACAGTTATTCTGGACAGAAATAACTGGAGATATTTGTGTCATTGTACCAGAAATTTCGAAATAACTCGTATTGACCGACTAAGAGACGAAAGACAACGATGAAAAGCACCATAAATATTCTTGTTGCTATATCTCAAGATTGTCACTGTTGCATAATATGCGGGCTTATAGGCGGGTCACTAGCAGGACTGAAGTGCCATATACGACACAAACATAAAAACTGAATAAGGTTATCGGATCATCATACATCGAAATCGATGGAAGAGTCCATAATAATCAATACTTGGTAATGTTTAATCTTCGTTCCCGCCAAAAACTGTGTCAAAATGACGGCTATCCTCTTGATACCGTTAGTATTGTATACATTTTGATTTTTATTGTTTTAATGAGATAATTAGAATTTTAATTGTTATGGTCCGGTTCCTTGTACCACGGTGATAGTCCAAGGTAGAACCAATAAAGAAGAACTCGAACACGGATATGGAATAACACAGATATATTACAAACAGGAATATATACAGAGAAGTAGAAAGTGTTAGTACGAACAATCAGGTTTAGTAGAGAGAACAATGTAGTCTCGACCAGTATCACTATTCCAATGTCTTGCAGTAATTGTCTGAACGCGACTCTGTTTTGGACTGCCTCTAACTCGACTCTTGACTCGACTTGAACTACTGACTCGACTTGAACTACATCAATCATCATCAATAGCGGCCTAAGCCGAGATTGATCTCACTAATACTTTGATTGGTGTAGTTCATAATCTTGTCAAATAGCTGAATTCTTGATGCTTCGCTAGGGCTATCAAGGGTGTTTTTATCGTGACACCATCAGGTTTAGTAGAGAGAACACCAACCAAGGCTCAGAGAGACTCCATTCACCCTCATCTAAGAGCAGGTTTGAATTCAGAGTTTTTTTCTCCTAGACCAGTTGCCATCCAAGGCTATAGAACCCAGTCTGTCCTGCTATTTACCCATAGCTGGAGGGAGAAGAAAGAGGATTCACACCTTTCCCAAGGGTGTTAGCACGTAAGTGAATGTAATGGATTCGACTGGAATTCGAACTCGGCTCTCCGATTCCTCCAAGCCGCTATCCATTACTCCACCGTGCCTCCTCCTTGAACTACTGACTGAGGCGCAGTATTTATTAAGTATGGAATAGTCGATTATTATTATCCCTTAACATTAATAAAGCCAAAATATATGAAATTTAATTAATAGATTTTCTGTGGAATTTATTTATTCTTGAGAATTGACAAAAAAGATATTTATGAGATCGCTTATTTATAAGAATAATTATATATTTACAAGATTATAAAAATATGGGAATTAGCTATAACTGGAATCAAGCCAATAACCGTGATCTTTACCTACCATTTTTTGTGTTTTCGCAGGCACGATGGTTGAACTTTTCCTTATATTTCGTCCCTTTATTGATAATATAATGTCATCTGTTTAGCGAATCTGGTGATCGATCAGGAATAATTTCATCTGGCAAATTATTGATCGATCAGATGACATCTGTTTGTTAAGTTGTTATTCCATAAGGAGTAATGTCATCTGCTTGGCAAATTGTTGATCCATCAAAAGTAATGTCATTTGTTTGACAAATTGCTGATCGTTATGGAGTAATATCATCTGTTTGGCAAATTGATAATGCTTATAATGTAATGTAATTTGTTCGGCAAATTATTGATCGATCAGGAGTAATTTCATCTGACTACCAAATTGTTGTTCCATTAGGAGTAATGTCATCTGTTTGGCAAATTGTTGATCGATCAGGAGTAATGTCATCTGTTTGGCAAATTGTTGATCGATCAGGAGTAATGTCATCTGTTTGGCAAATTGTTGATCGATCAGGAGTAATGTCATCTGTTTGGCAAATTGTTGATCGATCAGGAGTAATGTCATCTGTTTGGCAAATTGCTGATCGATCAGGAGTAACGTCATCTGTTTGGCAAATTGTTGATCGATCAGAAGTAATGTCATCTGTTTGGCAAATTGTTGATTGATGCAAAATTGTATTATGATACAAAATTGTATTATGATACAAAATTGTATTATGATACAAATGTACTTTCTGCTAATCATTCTATTTTCTACTATATCTAATTATTATTATTATCATTATTAATAATAATTATTATTATTAATAATAATAATAATATTAGTAGTAGTAGTGGTAGTAAAACAGCTTTATAAAATCGTTCTGCTCTTTGATGCCAAATAGATGTGTGGGAACGTTTGATTTTTTTTGTAAATATTCTAAAGCCTCTCCACTGTCGACCTTATTAAGAAAACCCATTCATTAATTTCGTACTTTCTGAATGTTCCCCTTTTATTAAGTTCCTCCTGTTTATTTTCTATCGAGAATGATTCCGAACAACGATTATTATGATACAAAATTGTATTATGATGCAAAATTGTATTATGATACAAAATTGTATTATGATACAAAATTGTATTATGATACAAATGTACTTTCTACTAATCATTCTATTTTCTACTATATCTAATTATTATTATTATTATTATTATTATTATTATTATTATTATTATTAACAGAGATGAGCGCGATTTTAGAAAAGAAAAAGAAATAAGTGTTTTAACGATATTTCTACACTATATCTGTCGTCTTCAAGTTATATTTTTAAACCATTTCAAAAATATATAAATCTACAAAAAAATTTCTTTTATTTTAGATTTATGTATTTTCATACATGAATTTTTTTATATACCGTATATCCGCGCGTATCATGCAACCTTTGAAGATCTGATTTTGAAGCTAATTTCACTACAGTAAATGAATATATAATTTGATCAACGTCATAGCCAGGGCCAGCAGTAAGTACGCTAATTTTATATTTCGTGTATGATGTGACCCCCTTAAAATTAGCTTGAAAATTTGGTCTTCAAATGTCACATGATACGCGTGTGTATACGGTATAACTTGAAGAAGACAGATATACTGTCGAAATATTGTTTAATATTGTCAAACACTGTTTTGTCTTTTCTTTTTTTTTTACTTAAGTCACACTCTTTCCTTTATTATTATTATTATTATTATTATTTAGCAGTAGTATAAATATGTAGTACAAATAAATGGCCATATTCTTTTGACTTACCTGCATAAGAGAATGCAACTAGTTGACTCCTTTCTAATTTCGGTGCCCAGTTTCCCCAGAGATTGTGGATGGATGGTGACGTAACACCCTAGACAAATGATAATAAGAGGAATTACGTTCTGATTTTCTTAAACCCGGGAGGAGTGAGAACCGGGCGTTTATACTTGTTGAAACTTGACTAATGCATGGAATAATAATGCAACACAAAATGTACTTAGAACAAAATGTATTGAAACAAGAAAAGTGTACACAATATTTACATATAGTCTTTTGTATATTCCTGGTAAGACCGTTCCTGGAGAATGTGTTGACTGAGTCGCAGTCGGGCAGAGTCGCTGGTTCAATCTCTTGATTCCCCCCTCTCTTCCCGGTACCAACCATATTTATATGGTCGGTACTCCACTATGCAAATTAGGTGGATCCTACCACAACAATACTAAACAAAAAATCAGAGATAATCTCCAAATGTAAGCATGAGAACAAGTACCTATTATCCGAATTCATACCAAACGGATAAAACAGACAAACCACCAACAATCACAATTTAATTTCAAGAT